GTCATTAACAGATAGTTACAGGTGGATAGCCCTTGTCAATCATAACAATAATTTGTCAAACTGTGACTTACTTTGAATTTCCTTTCACGAATTTGCAGATATGCGATTAGTTCGGGGGAAATGCTACAGTAATATAGCAGAAGCTGAAAGAACTTACGCCAACAAAGGGCGAGAGTGGTTCCAGGAAGATAGTGGATGATAATCGATGTTCGGGTTCCAGGCATAGAGGAACACGTATTGGACATAACCGAATTAGGGCCTTCCTGGGGCGCTCAGAGCACAATAACTGACACTTTCCCAAGCACCAAATAAATACCGAGGAAGGGGGGCTACGTTCCTACCACGTTTGTACGATACACACAGCACAATGAGATGCAAATGGAGCAGGAGTTAATTAACTGAATACGAGAAGCTGCTTGATAAGCGTGGATAATAAGGAGATTACACAGGCACTAGCTTCTTTGGAGTTAACCATTCAAATGTTTGGTGTTGTATGGTTTATTTTACAGACTAGTCATCTTATTTATAAACACTAATATTCGAGGTTATGAGAACAGGTTGACATTTCGTCAACAAATCTTGTTGAATTTACCGTTTATCCTTGTCTATCTTATTGTCAGTCTGTATAATTCCATGATTACCGGAGTTTTAAATAATTACGAAGCAACAGGTATTTGCGCAATGTTAATTAGGCAGATTGCCTTGAAAAACATTGCTGCCGTATTTATGATATAGTTTTTTGCAAATTTCTCAGTTTTTAATAACAATTAATTTGTTTTACTATTTTTTCTGTACTCCTATAACAGCACCAGACAACACCTCCAGAGGAATGACGCCAATTTTGAATCACCCTGTAGTACTTAATACTTTTTTTATTGTTGAACTATTTAATCAATATTGTATGAAAATAAATTGATTTGTTTCAATTGAGACCCCGCTATATTTTGTAAATGTAAGATTTTTGCTTTCTGCTGACTTTGAAAGTGGTGCAAGCCTAATTGAAGTGTAAAGATGTACCCATATTTTTTAAATTATCCAAATGCAAAACCTTAAATATCTCTATTTTAAATAAAATACAATTACACCCTACTTTCAAAGAGAACGGTTCATTTGTTTCCTCTTCAAACACATTTTCTTCGCAGGTTTTTATAGTTAATTGGAAGCGAACAATAAGGAAGGTTCTCAAGTAATTCTCACTAACCGATGAGACACACAAAACGGTGGGTTCATGTTTATTTCTTCAGAAGATCGTGGATCGTTCAATTCTGAATGCAAATGGGCAAAAAATCAGATCAAGAATCGTTCATTGTTCATGCGGCAAATGAGAAGTTTTCGCTTCAAACTTCTGTATCCTTCCATCAAAAACACTTCCTTACAGTGGCCGTTGGAAGTCTCCCAAGCAAGTTTTCTTGCAGAATTAAAAACGCAGTTTCCACGGATGCTGACCAAGAAACGGCTGAACACGCCGCTCTTGGTCGGAATTCGGTGCCGCTATTAATCTAATTCCGAAATAGGTTTTCAACTTAACACTGAGCCAAGTCTTCATTAATGTTGAACCTGATCCAGGTTAGCTAGCTGCTGAACTAACAAACCTTTCTTCGTGCTCGATAAATGCCTTGACTGACCTGAATAGGAGTATGGCCCTTCCGGGCTCCTCGTTCCCCTACAGGTGAAGTGTGCGCCGAGTTGGGCCCCGAAGAGCGCCCACCTCGGCTCAAATCCGTCTCATTGGGGCTGTTTGGCACTGAATTGTGTTCCTTCGGCTGATGCCGCAGATGGTGCGCATGGCTGTTATGATACCTCGAATGGTCCGCCTGTAGCAAAAACTGATTTGAAATCACACGTCTACACCTCACTGTCCAAATGTCCTCCTTACAGTTAACTGCTTGAGGAGGTAACACGTCAACATGTCCCTTTGAAGCTCGATTGGGTAATAATTTTTACGCGTTAAAATTTTAAAAACCTTTCGCGTGATCTGTTTGATACAGGCGAGCGGTATTTGCTCGGTTATTGGCCGTCCATATATCATTTGCTATCAGCGGGCTTAGCAGATAACTCGCAATTATTTTTGGCACAAATCAGATCAATCATTAACGGTGTGAAGTAGGGGAAAGCCTGGGAAACTCAGTGAATTTTTAGGAGTTGGCGCAGTGCGCCAACCCAACGCACTAGCGCAGTAACTCAGTTCCGTTGCTGGGAAAATGCTGATGACTTTTTAAAATTGTTTTAGATTTATTTTAAAGACCATTTATTAATAATGTTTTTAAAATGTCTTCAAATTTTAGAACTTTCCAGTCTTGGCCAGGTTACTTTTTCTTCTAAATGCTCAATTTGTAAAAAATGTGTTTTTTTAAGTTTTGACTGAATTTTATTTGCTTTACTTTCTACTCAAAAACGCTCTATTTTGTAGAGTTTCACTTAAAAATAGTGACGATCTGCAGGGCGGTTACGCGAAAAATTACATGATAAATTTATAGCTTTGTAAAAATTTTACAAAAACTTTTTTCAGCGTCGAATTCGGGACAAAAACGAAAATACATTCCTGCTGTTTTTCCCCGAAAACCATGAAGGTTTTCTCCAAAACTGATCACAAAACTAAAAGTTTTGAATCAAAAACGCAAAAAATCATTATTTTCATCTTTTCTGACAATAATGAGGTCTTCAGTCAAAAAATACAAAATTAATTTTGCCAGAAAATTCACCTCATTTTCATCAATTTCAGCTTCAGAATTTGGCACAAAAACCAAATAATTTTATTCAGTTTTTTGCCAAAAGTAATTAGGATTATCTTGAAAAAACGACCAGAAAGCAAAAAAATTCCTTTAAATTTTCAGGTTATTCCAGTTTTAACAAAGTTTCTATTAAGAAATTTTTTCTACGCAAAAATCGAATTATATTTTAGTTTTACTTAGAATACTGACAATCTTCGGGAATTTTATGTGAAAAATTATAATATACATTTTATTGGAACACTCGCCTTCTTAACCGATTTGCAAAAATATTTGGAAAACTTTTTGCAGCTTCGAATTATGGACAAAACCGTAATAGTTATTTCTGGGTGTTTTTCCAAAAATATTTCCCGAACTGAAAAAGCGAAAATTTATAATCATTTATTTGGAAAACTCTTCGAAACTTGGGTTTTTTCACTTTTAGGTCAATATTTCTAAACAACCCTGTCTGTAAACAGAAAAACCCCGTTTTTCTTATCGTTTTACTGTAAAATACTGGCAAACTGAATCTTCTATGTAAAAAAATTAAGATAAAGATTTTACAAAAAAACTCGGGCGACTTTCTTTGGACTCAGTTCTGCTGCAGGGAAAATCTACATAATTTTTTTAGTTGTTTGAACAAAGTAGTAAAACGTTAATAAGTTTCCTAGTGTGATTTTAGCGCAGGGTTAGACCCTTTTTGAAGCAATGAGAATGAATGTACCTTTTTCTGCTGCTTTGGAATTATGCTCGTATTCTGTGGCATTCTGGAGATGTTCAGGATGTGTTCCCCGGTCATCATGTAGGCCTCAAACTTGGGCGCCCCTGATTTTATGGGGGGCGGCTCGCCCTGCAGTCGCTCGTGTTCGCACAGTAAAGGTTCGTGTTCGGGCGGCAGGCGGCCATTGGTGGCGGCCAAGTGCCGCCCATGGTGCGACTTGTGAACAGCTGGTTCCGGCCGGGGGCGCCCGCCCCCCAAGGGCGACCGCTCCTTGGGCCCCTGCTCCCCACCCGTTGTAGACTGTAGATGTTTTCGCACTGTCGACTTGATCTTCGGATCTATCAACAGATAACACCAAATTTTCTTTAATTGTCATTTATGAACGGAAAAACAAACGAAAGGCTGTTAGGAACAGTTGTTAAGTGAAAATTGTAATTTTTTTTTTGGAAAACTTTTCTTGGCCTCAACTGGGGCCTGGATGGAATCGGAATCGATTTCTCGCCTTAACAGTGGTTTCCAGCTCACCGTCGATTCATTTTCCTTGCAGCTAGGGGCGCTTTAATTAATTGCCTATGGCTGGAGCAGCCCAATTATGAAAATAATCTTCAAATTTCTGCCCCAGAGCCGCACTAAGTGTACACTTTACAGGAAGCAAAAGCTTGAAGCTGGTTCAGTGGCGCACATGGATAAAGCCGCAAAATGTATGAACTGGAACACAACAGAGCAGGCCTCGCATTGCTTGATTCCATGAGAGCCACTGACCCGTTTGGTAATGTTGGCTTACCGCGTTTAATTTTTAGCGTAACCGGGTCTGAAGATAGTCGCAGGCATTTTAGAACTGAAAAGCAAAATGGACGTTAATAACAAAAATTAATGGTGAAGCGTTGCCGGGATAAGCTATCAGAAACATCCACAATGGAAACAGCGTGTTTTCACTGCAGACTCGTACAGGAATGGATAGTCTGTTCCAAGCTATTTGACAGTGACGTCATCGTTTGAGAGTGTCCATGATTGGTTCAATTGTTGCGGTGTTGCCAGCTTGATTGATAGTTCCCAGTTTGGGTGATTTATTTAGGTTCAATCAGATACTTTTGATATAGCACGGTTTTTTCACAGTTTAAAGTAATCATGTATTATTTAAACAATTAATGGGGCACTTTCCTTTCTTCACTTTTGTGATAAATTTTCCGCTGTTTTTGGCGTTAACTGTGAGCGTTAAAATGTGCTCTTTTCGTGGTGGTAAACCTGCAGTCGAGTTATGAAGAAAATAGAAGAAAACATGAGAATTTCATCCAAGATCTAAGCGATGGTGTTGAAAACATCAGCAAAATGAACCGTTCATTGCTCGTCCTCACAATATTGTTAATTCGTTTTTCATCCATACGTTTGCGAAATGCAACAATTTTTTCCGACCAAAAAGCTTGGGACAAACTACAGTTTCCTTATCAGAGCTTTTCCTATCGTCGATATTGGGTAATCAAACACTATCTAGCTCATATAAGGAAAAACTACACCCCTGCCTATTTAACACAGTGGCAAACCGTGTGAATTTGCAGTTAATGAAATCGTCCAAACAACCAACTAAGCATTCGCTCAAGCGACTAATCCAATGGAAGTTGTGAAATAATTTGCGTTTTTCGTCGAGTTTTCCATCAAAACGTCGGTTATTTAAACGGTTTCTTTAAAAACGGTTCAGTAAATATGGAAAAGCGATATTAAAAAGATGGAAGTGGGTGTTTGCTTACCTTCCCTGGTGCTGTACTTTATTACGTCAGTTTCGTTTACTTTTAATATCACATCTCCGACTTCGACCTGGAAAAAGATATATAAGGTTAGCTTTGGCGGAAATTGAAAAATAATTTTTTTGTTGTTTGGGAATTATTGGGGTGGTTTTGGCTGATTGGCAACAGCGCTAGCTTCTTCAGTAGCATGAAAGCTGGTGAAAATCTACTGAAAAGGCGTTGTTGAAGCGGAATTCGTTTTTTAAATCCCTGTGACTCCATCCTTATAACGCTGTTAAAAACACAGAAAACGGGAGTTTGAAAATTAGAAGCTTTTTTGTCTAAAAAAAGATGCTTTAAAAAATTTTTTTTAACTAGTTTTCAAAATTTTCCAGTTACAGCTTCAGATTTTCCGAAATTGCTGTAAAATACGTTAATTGGAAGGCAACATATCTGTAATTTATGCAGATTAGCGCAAAAAACGACCTTAGTCCATGCTCATCTTACAAAACAAATACCTTTCTAACATAAGGTTTACTTACGGAAAACAGACATTCAAAGATCTAAATATTGCCTAAAAAACTCCACCATTTTTCTATCGAACAAAGCAGGAACTATTTGGGATTTAGAACTTGAATCTGAGCCAACATTTCCACTAAACTAGTTTAGGAAAATGCTTAAAATGAAGAACCTTTCGCAAAAAAAATCCAAAAGCTTCCATTGAATTGTTTTTAAAGCAAATTAAATCCTTTCAGTCTGGAGGATTATCTCAAGAGCGTGCTCTAAAAGACTGCAGGTGTTTAATGGAATTTCAAGCAGGTTATCCAGACATTTTTCACGCCGAAATTGTGCATGAAATATAAATGGGATGGTTAATTGTTCCCCAATTCCGCTGCAATTGTTAAACCATAAAACCCCACTTTCCAGCACAAGTGCACCGAAAATGAGGGATTTTTAGGAGTAATATGGAAAAGGCTTATTATCGATTATTTTAAAAAATAAATAAATAAAAATAGAAAATTTGGGGCCTTTAATTTGTTGAAATTGCAGCAAAACATGTAATTTGCAGAAAAAAATTCTTGTAAATCGAATAGATTCATCAAAGACAAGTGGGTCTTTGACAATATTTTCCTTAAAAAAAGGAATTTTTGCATTAAATATTTGGACTATAGAAACAGGATTGTCAACATTTTGTAAAAAAGGACACTGCTCAAAATCAACAACTCTTCGCATAAAGCTTTTACTGAAAACCGTCGCTAAAATAAACTAAATCCTTTAAATCTAGAGAATTATGTCCAGAGCACCCCCTAAAAATCTGCCTTATCCAGGCATTTTCCAGGCCCAAATTGTGCATGAAGTATAAATTGGTTGGGACATTGATGCCTAATCCAGCTGCAAGTGCTAGACCAGCTTCCAACTAGGTCAATTTCGCTTTGAAGCTGAAAACTGCCACTCAGAAAACCGCCCTTTCAAGCACAAGAACACGTTAAATGCTGGATTTTTGGGAGTTGATTATGAGCTTCAAATCGATTTTCTATTTGGAAACCTCGCTCTTTTAATGGAAAACTTTAAGCCCTTAAATCCCGACTTTTGCAGGAAATTTAATTCAACACGCGCCATCAGCGACTTTAGTCGATCGACGAATAAATCGCAAGAAAAACGTTGTATCTAATTTTCTTGAGCGCCCTCCAAAGGATGGCCTTTGTTAACCTTTTAAAGCTTATTAGGTTCAAGACCTCTTCGGGCGAATGTAGGCCGATGCCAATTTATGGATCAGGTCTAATTGGATATTTTATATCTTTCTCTCGAATGCCGAAGATTAAACGACTAAAGAAAATCGACTTTCTTTCTTCGGCTTTCAATTTAATAGGACTGGCTTGATGTTTAGAGGGAAACCGGCAGATAAGTCTCGATATTTTTACGGCCGAGGCTGACTAGTTGCTATATTTCAGGCAATTTGCACAGATTCTCAACTCGCATTTTTATGGGCTGTAAAATTCAATCATTACCGTTCAAATTTGCATGACTATTTTCCGCTAATTAGCCCCGACACATGCACTCAAGCCGAATTACACCCGGAAGTGAATTTAATTAAAATAAGACGAGGGCTTTCGCACCGTTTAAGGCTTCCATCAAAGCCAATGTTAATAAAGGATCTGGATTCAATCAATCGTACATTAATTTCTACCTTTGACGACACATTTAAGATGAGTTCACCTAATCATAGATGTACTTTTTTATTGGCTTTTTACACAACTTGTACCCAGAACATGGAAACTATGTTAAATAGCCATTGAAATCTGGGCTTGCAAGAACATCAATTTAGACCTAAAATGGTACTCTTTGAAGATAAATCGGTTTTTATGGCCAATCATGTGTTTACAACCGAGAACATGTGTTTGTGAAGATTTATGAGCGCGATTTTCATTCTGAGTCATCAAGCGAAGATCGAAGGTGATTCTTTGAAGGTTTCGATCATCGCCACCCTTGCACTGACTGTTTAAACCTTCTGTATCTTGACTACCTCTCTTAAACAGTCATTAAAACTTCAGAGAACCTAAGTTTTAATGGTCCGTCTGGCGTCTAATTGCATGTTTTTGTTGTGGCTTAACTCAAAAATAACAATTACCTCAAACTCCCAACGTTGCCCGCATAAACACATGCAGATATCGTTGTTTGTTTATGGCAAGGCTTTCGTGGATAATTGGGGTTATCGAATAATTGCAATCTCCGATGATATGGCTAATATTTAAAGAATCCCAACACCCGAAACGGTCAGTTGCTAAGAGCAAATTTCAAAATGAACTGTGTTCCCATCGTTTTGGTTTTAATTGTGGCGCTGGCCAGTGGCCAGGCCAAGGTGATTGAAAAGCGCGAAGTTTCTGAGGTGAGCCGAAGAATCCACGGATCTTATGGGGAGTTTCGCGACTTTACAGCTGCAGGTAACGAAAGCCTGGAAAAGTTTTGAAAATTCGCTCAACTGGATTGATTTCAGATTGTTCACAACCCCACGAAAACAAATGGGTCAAATGCGCTTCCTCTGGAAACCCAGCCTTCGTCTACCACTGGAATAATCAGCTGAAGGGATGCGAACGGGCTATTTTTAAGGGTTGCGCACCTACCAGAAATAATTTTGTCACTGAGAAGGACTGTAACAAGCAAGCTAAGCCCGTTTGTTCATAATTCCATACATTAAAGAGTCATTTTATATACCTAAATTGAATAGAAAAATGTATCAAGTATAGAAGAAATAAAAAATTACTGTAGAGAGCTTAAAACCCTTCGCTTAGAGTCACTTGAGCAAGCCACGTGTATGAGAGCGACACGGCAGAATTATAATCGCTAGCGTTAATAAGAGAAGAAAGCGTTTGGATTTTAAAACAAACAGCTCATACTCTTTTGCGCATATTTAGAGAACCGTTTGAGACCCTGCCTGATAGAGCAATAAAGCAAGCACTTTTTTATATAAAACATTGACTTAAAAATGTTTTTAGTTTTTCCCGAAAATGGCAAAATGCATAATTAGTCCAACTTCTCAAAACCGCTCTTATTCTTATACACAAACTTAGAGAACCGTTTGAGACCCAAATCTCACATTGACACTGCCGGATAGAGCAATAAAATGAGCACGTTTATGCATAAAACATTAAATTATTTTTTTTTAACTTGGACCGGAAAACAAAAAACCAATACCTCTAACAAAACTCAAAAACTATTCATTATCATCGTTTTTAACCACACGGACATTTCCAACCTCATGAACGTTGCAAGTGGAAAAAATTTGTAGAAAACTAAAAAATTCCATTAGAGAAAAAATATTGACCAGTTTGGAGCGTTCATCTTCAGGCAGTGAAACCATGTTTGTACACTTACTCAATGCAGTTGGGAGGTTAAATAGAACGATTAATCACATAACTAACTATAAAAGTGAGGGCGAAAGCGCGATATAGTCCTGCAACGTCTGCAAATCGCTACCAATCCGAACAGACTGCGATGGGCGAGACGAAACGCCGGACAATTGAAAATGCAGCAGAAACTTGGTGGAGCGGGCAGCGGGTTATTTAAATTTAAATAGGAAAAAACCCGGCAATGCTTTCCTAAAAAATAAAACGACAGAATAAAGCTTGTTCCAGCACTTCCAAAGGATTTTCCACATTTTATTCCCGAAATAGAAGGCTGAGAGTTTGATGGAAATGCGAATTTGTCCTTTACTGGATGACTCCAGTCCGCAATCAGCGATCTGCATCAAACACGTACAAATACTCGAAAAGCGGCATTTGCACATGCCGCATTCATGAATTTTTATTGAATACGTAACATGGGATGGACATAGCATGACTACATGATTTATTGTCGGTGTCAATGTGTGCAATTAATTGTGAGAATTAATGAGTCCTATTAATTATCAGAAACAGATCAAAGGACTTAGAGTGAATGGGGAGCAACTATTTCAGTTTGATAAATAGATTTTTTGAAAGGACTGGATATATTGAGGGCAAAACTGATGAATTTTTCAAATTGGCTCACTTATCCTCCTGGTAAAAAATGTGCACAAAATTGTCGATTTTTCGGTTATTTTAAAGAACGTAACATGTGTACGAAAAACACCGAAAACTGCCCATTGAAGACTTGCTGAGCTGAATAACTTTACAACTATGTCAATGTGCTTCAGATGTTTCTACATTTTCTTTTACATTGAGCTGAAACCCAAACTGTTCATAAACCTCTCAATTGTTCTTTCACGATGTTTTGATTCTGACGAATGGCTAGGTAATATACGGATTATTCTATTTCATGCGACTAAGTGTCTCCATTTCAAATGGCAAACCTTAGATAAAGTAAGAAATCTATCTCTTTAGAGGCTAGGAATTTCCGATAAAATCCAATTAGCGAAAGACAGTTCTGTTTAGCTTTATCGAACAGGTCCTAATGATTATTCAGGTAGTTTTAACCGTTTCCGAGATAACAGCTCGTAAACTGTGATAGTCTCTTTTCACCTTGCCAGTTTTTCACCCTACCATTTTAGAGATGAGAAAATTTTGATAAATAGCAAAAATGAAAAATCCCAAAAAAACTTGAAAACATTCTTTT